ATGGTCTTCTAGTATTTGTTCATATACAAAGGTTATTCCTTTTTATATCCCCATCAGTAATAGCAGATCGACCCATGAGAGGAGGCTGTCGAAGGAGTAACAACAGTAAGAGGCTAGCGACGGGCTACAGCGAAGCGAGATTGTTGGCACGGGGAGGAGATTGTTGAAGCAAGCGACCACAGAGAAAGCCACCAGCATAGGGAGGAGACAAGAAGATGCCAACAACGAGGTTTGGGGCGGAGGGAGTGGCTATCAACGAGGCAAAGGTGCCAAGGCCTGAAGCAAAAAGATGCGAGGAGGAAGGTGTAGCGAGTGTCGAGAGGAGTGGGTGTTCAGTATAGATCAGCGATGGTCTGGAAGAGGTAGCGAAGTCTGAAATAAGGAAGTCTATGATGAGTGACCGCGGTGGATTAAAGTCTACCTCCAGTGATCCGCTAGTGAGGAAGATGTGGGAATGGTGATGAAGGTGAGCTCGTTGGTGACAACGCTTGGGGTAGCGGACGAAGAAGGATGATCGGGTCGTCCACAAAAGCGCCTCCGTCCACCTTGATTCAGAAGCCCAAAGAACGATTGGAATTGATCGTTGTTGTTACTTCAGCGACGATGTCGTTGGCGGCTTGAGGTATGTCGATTTGAAGTCTGTTGATCAAATCCAATGGTTGTGAGCAGAGGCTATTGCCAAGCAGAGGAGGATACGTAGAGGAAACCGACAACAACATATTAGTAAAGATAAGGGACTGCCGTTGTCAGATGGTAACGAAGGGAAGATCTTGTTCAAGGCAAGAGGAGCTTTGATACTATGTAAAATTAAGAAATATGCTAAATGAGATATGAGGTGATAATTATTTATACAGATTTTTCTTAATCAATCACTCGAATGATGCAATCATATCAGTTACTCAAAATCCTCAAATTATAGATTGGTTAAGGATATAAGAATTAGAAATGATCCTCAATCATATCAGTTATTATGTTTAAGAAAATTTAAACATAATAACTGTCATCAAAGGAATACTTTGTGTATGTCTTCGCTCCGTGGGATCACACGGATCGCAAGGAACACATCAAAAGAAGACAGGGATGAATCAGGTGCAGCACAGTGTCATTAGCATTCTCTCTATTCTACAACTAAATCTCATCTTGGTATTAAAAACATCAACTCCAACTAATTCATCCACTCACTTGCATCTACCAGTACTTAATTATGCCAATGACCAAAACGGCGACTACTTTTACGAGAACGATGGCCAGCCACAACACTCCACCTAACAACACCTTCCCCTTGTAATAATTCGTTTGGCCTTTCATTTCTCACCTATCGTTGGTGACATCAAACACCACGTGTGACATGTGGAGCACCGCCGGCTTGTCCTTTCACCGGTGCCTCGTACCAACGTGTCACCAAATGAATCATTGCCGTGTGGCATGTGGCATTTTTGAGTCACTAGCCACCGTTTAGATCCTCCGAGGACACGTACGTCAGCCGGTAGCAGACCTGACGCCAAGGGTGTCGTTGTGCAGATGACGAAACTGTGTGGCCAAGTTTTGGTGTCACAGGTTGCCGGTGAAGAACCAATGCAGATTAGAAAGCACAGTGTGCGTCGGTCAGATGTCAGTGTGCGTCGTAAACGCTGAACCACTCAACTCTGGCGCTTCCATCCCTAATCACGTGGACTGTTGTCACTTTTCAACGGTACGTTGTCCTACAAAAGTCTTCCAGAAGATTAAAGTATTTTACCTACCTCTCTCTCTCTCTCTCTCTCTCTCTCTGTGTTGACGTCTCCACTAATATTTTGTCTGAAAATTGATTATTTGATACTCATATAGAGATCAAACATATCTCCTTTGATGTCTCGAGATTTATTTTGTGTTAGGTTGGTAGTTAGCATCCAATAGAGTTGGGAGATATCACTTTACGTTCATCCCTAATGACGTGAACTGCAATCTGTTTTCACTTCCCAATGTTTCCGTTGTCCTTCGATGTCTTCCCTAGGATTTAAGTATTCCGTTGATACTCATCCATATCAAACCTACCACGTTTTTTACGATGGTCTCAAGATTTATTTTGTGTTAGGTAGTGTTGATGAACATCTACGTCATGGTCGAGATGTCAATACGGTTCGGTCCAGTCTTGGATGCGTAAGGTTGCCCATGCAGATGCTCGGGTTGCATCGACATCAGGTCGGGTTGGGTCCGAGCGTCGTCTCCCTAGTGCGATTCTCCCTCAGTGGGTTGCTATCGCTTCATTGTCGATTCCTGCATAAAGGTCGAGGTCGGGAGGGGGATTTCCCAACCGATCCATCCGAAGCTTAAGTTAGCTTTTGGTGGAATAAGAGAGAGTTGAGTATTCGAAAATGCCTCCCCCTCCTGATTAAGGAGGATTAGCTTTTATACATGCGAAGATGAGTTGGTCATACAAGGTCAATTAACTGTGATCGGTTTAAGCTTCTGTGCAAGCACCGACTGACCTACACAAATCGACATCGTACGACATCACCCCGAGCTTTCCAGGACGATTGTACTATGATGATATCATTCGTATGGAGGGGGCGACAAGCGATTGCCTGTCACGTGTGTGTTGCGCGTCACATTGTACTTGAAGTTTTACATTTGCGTAGGTACTTCTCATATCTATTACTTGTTGTGAACATGACTAGATTTGGCTTTCCCATGATGGTTAAGTTCCTTCACCTATGTACGCATACATGCAACAGCATTCCAGATTACAACAACATCGTCGCATTTATCTATACATGCGATGCTGTAGAGACCTGACAATCGTGTGATCATGTGCATGACCTGATGTGAGACGCATGAGAAACAAAGTATAAATCATGGTAGGTTGCGGCCTCGTCAACGTTGAAGCTCCACCTCGTTGCATTCTTGATCGCTGATCATCTTTATACAGCACAGTAGGTGTCATTCTGGTGGTCCATTTTTGGTTGAACTGAAGACTTTATAACAAAGAACGATGCACAAAAACAAGATGATTACTTGCTATTATTCTTTGTCTAACGCGGATGGAGTCGGTCAGACGTCAGGGTGTGTCGCAATGGCTGAACTACTCAACTCTGACGCTTCCATCCCTCATGACGTGGACTGCTATCTGTTTTCCATGATGGGCAAGTCCCTTCACCTATGTACGCATACATGCGACAGCATTCCTCCAGATTACAACAATGTCGTCTCATGTATCTACACATGCAATTGCAATGTCGTAGAGATCTGACAACCGTATGATCATTTGCATGACCTGATGTGAGACGCATGAGAAACAAAGTATAAATCATGGTAGGTTGCGGCCTCTTCAACGTTGAAGCTCCACCTCGTCGAATTCTTGATCGTTGATCACGTTTATGCATCTTAATGATGAGTTGATACGATATGGTTTGTCGTTTCAAGTTACGATCAATCATTGTAAGTCGTCGTGGCAGTAATGTTGCTTTCGAAGAAACAGTGCCCAGTCGCA